AAAATGTTAAAAAGAGAGCAGTGCTGGCTCAGCGGGAGACTCCTCAGCTTGAGGGTGGGGGACCAGGGTTCAATTTCCAGCCAGGGAAGTTCAGGTACAGCAGTCAGTACCAGTCTGTTCGCCGAAGCATGTGTGGTGCAACGATTGATGAAGACAGTAGGGAGAAAGGGCTGGCTATCTGCCTCCGAAAAACCTGCCAGTGAGAGGCCATCTCCAGGGCCCCCCTCCTCGCCGATTCCCAGGACACTGCAGGGCAGCACATTTCATCCTGTGGTGCTTGGGATGGCTGCTGAGTAGGGGAGGGGTGACTGGCCAAGCAGCGGAAGGTTCTGAATGGGCCGTCTCCCACAGGCCAGGGGAGGGTGTTCCTACTGGGGGGCCCTAAGGTTCCAGGGAGCCGTCCGCCTTCTCCCCAGTATTTACATTCCCTTCCGCTGACATCAGGGGGCTGGCCCAGCGGCCCCAGAAAGGCTGGCCAGCAGCCAGCTCACCAAATAAGGATGGAGCGCCACACAAAAGAAGGTGGGCCAAGCGGGTCGTGGGGAGTCCCAGGAGACCCTCGGTAGCCCAGCCAGGCAGGAAATCAGGGCCTACCTGGAGGGGAGGCCTTCCCCATGAACAGGCAGAGAAATGGTCCCACAAGCAAGCCTCACTGCCTTCCCACGCTGACTCACAGCGACCCTGTTTCTGAGACTGGAATTCTTCACAGGAGTCGAAAGTGGCTGGTGGCTTCCAACTGCTGACCAACAACAACCATGCCGCCAGCGGGGCTGCTCGCGGACTCACACAGGAGCCCGTTAAACGTACAAGGGTCAGGGGAACTTTCCTGAGCATCCTGCCTCCCTCAGGCAGCCCTTGAAAAAGGAGGGTTCAACGGGTGCACACACCCGGGAGGGGAGGGGTTCAAACTTGCCCAGAGGTGCCCCGGAAAAGGCCTGGCAATCTAACTCCCCTTGAAACATGTCAGCCACTGAAAAGTCCACGGAAGCACGGCTCTCCTCCATCACGCTGGGTCAACGTGCCTCAGAGTCCACCGGGCTGTACCGCCCCCTGCCTGCACGCACTTTGAACGCCCGCCCCAGCAGTCCTGCGGCAGAAAGGCCTGGCAATCTCCTCCTCTAGAGACGAAACCCTGTGGGGCAGCACCTCTCCGGCCGTCCCCCGGGGTTGCGCCAAGTGTCAATCAAGTGTCAATCAACTGACCCAACGGCACTACACGCCACGGGCTACTTAGGCGTTAAGGACACTCCACTCTGACTTTTCCCCCCCAGAAGCCAAGAAGCGAGATCCCCACCTGCATCCAGCCCCCAAGCCGGCTGCTCACCTGCCCAGCTCCTCCCCCATCTCGTAGTGGTCCTCCACGTCTTCCTGCCGGAAGGTAGACATGGCGGTGTGGCAGATCTGTCTTCCAGTGGCCTCTGCTCCAGCCAATGCCCAGAGGATGAGACCTGAGGGCAGGACGTAGGGGATGTCCCCTCACCTTGACCCCTAGAGGAGACAGGGCACCAGCTGTTGCTCCAACCACCGCACTGGGCTCACCTCCCTGCGCCGCAGAAGCTCGGGAGTGAGATGAGGAAGATAGGCCTGGTGGTGGACTTGCAGAAATCAACCCAAGAGCACCCTAGAGATCACAGGGTCCCATCGCTGACTAAGCCCATGGGTCACAGGGCCAGGCAGGGTTTCAATGTTCTGCATGGACCCAGGGGACCAGAGCACAGAGCGGGCTGGGGGCTTTGCCACGTGTCATTTCACTGTGACATGCTAACCACCTGGAAAAGGTCAGTACGGCCCCCTGGTACCCCATGTGTTCCTTTAACACCCCCTCTGCTCTCACCGACCCCCCTAGTGCTCTAGCTCAGCTTCCTGCGCCTAGACCTCTGCCAACCTGCTAGTCCAGTCTCCATACATTCCAGAATGCTCCCCACATTCTGCCCGCCCCCACTCCCCCCAGGGCACTGTTCCTCCTTGGAGACACCCGGTTTAATTCGACCCCCAACAGACCTCCCAATACCCTGCCCCTCTCCTCCTAGCACACACGTGCCTTACTCTCCGCCCCACCTGACCCCACCCCTCACCCCCATACCTAGACTGTTCTCAAGAGACCACCCCACCTCCCCGCCTCTCATTGGGGTTTCACCCAAAAGCCACTGTCTGAATCGCTTTCGACTCACAGCGACCCTCTAGGACAGTGGACCTGCTCTATAGGGTTTACCAGACTGCTATCTTTACGGAAGCACACTGCCCTATCCTAAGTCCCCAAACGCTGGGCCAAGCCCCCTACCCACTCTTGGGCCCCACCATCCACTATCCCAGCAAGAACAAGCTTGCCTCCAGCCTCCGCTACAACACGTCCCTCCAGCCTGGTCTCCTCCACCCTCAATCGGGTCCCTCTGTCCCTCTATCCTCACCTAACCCCACTACGCTGAGTCTTCCCCGTCGCCCTTCTCCCCGACCCCCACCCCATGTCACCAGCCTCAACACAGCTCCAAGGGCCACACCCAATGGCCCCGCTGCGAGCATCTCCCGGCCCCACAGGCTCCCCATCCCTGACGTTCCTCCTAGGCATCCTCTTCCGGCCTCCACGCCCCTCGCTGCCCCTTCCTCGGTCCGGTCACCCAAGGGCTCCCCAACCTGGCCACCCCCTGGTCCTCCCCAGCGCCCCCGCCCCCGCCCCCGCCCTGCCCGCCGGTCGCGCCCCGTACCCGCAGCGCACAGTGTGGCCCTGAGCCCCTGACCAGTCCCGCCGCTGTGCTGGCTCCGCGGCGGCAGTCCCTGGGCCAGCGAAACCGCAGACGTCGCGACGTGACGTCATCCCGTTCCCCACTGCCCGCCTCAGAACGCAGATCCCCAACTCCCATTGGTCAGCGCGGCCGCCGCTGGAGCCGCCACTCAACGCGCCCCCTTTCCTGCCCGAGCCCCAGAGACGGCTTCGCAGTTGGTCGACGTGCTAGTCTGCCCGCAGATGATTGGCTGGGATGAACGCTCGTCAAGCGGACGGAAGTGGAATCGACTTCCGGACTCCCGCCCGCACCGCGAGCCTCCTCCGACCGGGTCCTGAAGCCGCTAGGCATCCGGGATGCTCGAGGCCCGCAACAGCCGCCTGCCCTTCTCGGGTGCCGGGTACGTGGAGCCGGAGGCCTGGCTCCTGCCAGGGACCCCGTGCGGCTGCTGGGGTGAACCCCGGCGCTGCCTTCGCTCCCCTTACAGTTTTACCCTTTATGAAACGCTACCCGCATTGTCAGTACTAGGTGCAGATGAGGTTCAACTCATCGATTCTTCTCTCGTCTTCCTTATTCATTGTCCAACGACCCATGCATCTGAGATGGTTGAAAATGCCGTGGCTGGGGTCCGGCGCACCGTAGACCTTAAAGTGCCATCTTTGCTTTTAAACACCTTAAAGAGGTCTGACAGCAGCCTCTGCCAATGCAATACGTCAATTGCTCTCTTGACGGCCGCTCCCCTGAATGCTGCTGGCGCCGACTAAAACCCTGAGCAGTGTCACTGTTTTCTCCATGTATCGTGATGTTTATTGGGCCTGTTGTACTTTTGCTTTTTGTTGCGTTGCAATCCTTACGGAATCTGTAGTCTTTCATCTTCATCAGCAAGTCCTTCAACCCTCTCCACTTTCAGCCAGCAAGGTGATGTCATCTGCATATCGCAGGATGTTGAAGAGCCCTTCTCCAATCCTGGGGCCGAGGTCTTCATGTGGTCCAGTTTTGCTCAGCACACAGATAAGGACTAAGTATAATCAAAGGATACAAGACTGACTGACACCTGTCCTGATTTTCAGCCACGCAGGGCGATGCATCCCCTTCCTCTGGGGCTTTGCACAGGTTCTGCAAGAGCACAATGAAGTGTCTGGAACATTCTCTGCAGTGTTAGCTATAATTTGCTATGATCCACACAGTTGAATGCTTGGGCCCAGTCAATAAAACCCAGGTAAGTAAACCTAGGGGGACGTATCAAACAACAGCTTCACATCATATTTGTGGAGCCTTGTTAGTGTAGTGGTTGAGTGGGGGCTCCTACCAGCAAGGCCAGCAGTTCAAAACCACCAGCTGCTCCTTTGTAGAAAGATGAGGCTTTCTGTACCGCTGTGAGTCAGAATGAGCTTGGCGGCAGTCGCTTTCAGCCCACATAGTTCTGATGGCAGCAATGTTGTGTGTCCCTTTCGCCACATCTTCTGAATCATCCTGGGATCTCCCTGCCTGACTGGCAGCTCCCTGACAGTGTACTGCTACACCTCTTACGTAAATTAACAGATCTTAGTTCAAAATCTGGAGTGTCTTAAATCTGTAAGATTTTTTAACATTTAATTCCTCCCTTAATTTGCTTGTTGCTTTGGGGAAAAGTCCAAAAGTAGTGTTACCAAACCACTCAAACTGAAAAACAAAAGCTTCCTGCATCAAGTAAATTCTGACTCAGTGATTCTACAGGACAGGGTAGAAATGCAACCCTGCACATCCGACAAATCATTCCTTTTCAATCTCCCGGGGAACCATCAATCCTTCTAGCCCAGTGCTGGAAGATAGAGCCTTCTCTGGACATGTGCACGGTATCTGCTGCCCACCACTCACACAGGAACAATACTGGTGGCACAAGTCAAATCCTCAGCTGCTAACCACAGGCTGGTGGCCTGAATCCCCCCAGGGGCTCCTTGGGGAACAAAGACGGGTGATCTGGGCCCACAGAGATGACAACCTATCAGGGGCAGCCCCATAGGATCACTATGGCAGGGAAGGTGACTCAATCAAGACCCCACGACTGCCAGACACCAGTGATGTGGCTCCTCTCACATTTTACTTAACCCTAACCTTGAGTCACAGGTGGCTGCTGGGTTCAAGGGTCATTTTCAACCCTTCCTTTGTGTCACAAGTCTGATTTTATGTGACCATGTAGGTTTTCAAACTGTTCTTGGCTGCCTTTGGGTTGGGTCCGCCCACAGCAACCTGTGTGCACCTAAGGAAGCGGCCTGGTCCTGCACCATCCTGTTTTTGGCTGAGCTCATTGGTACAGCCATGGTGTCATTTTGAGTGCCTTCCTCTCTTCATTGCCCCTTTTAGCCAACATGTCAAAAGACTGATCTCCTTGTGTCCAAAGCAGGCAAGACGAAGCCCTGCCATCCCTGCCCGAGCATCACTTTGGCTTTACTACAAACTGGGTGCATATGGCACTGTTCTCATGTCCATGGGGCTTAACTGGGAACTGACTCTTGCAAGCAAACAGTGATGGCGGTGGCCCATGATCACTTCTTGAGTGCTTCATCCCTTGCCATTCCTGTACCCTGAGGGGTCCCTGCCTTTGGAAGTCATCAGCTTTCAGTCCGATTCTAGAGCCATCAATTCGTCAGGCCTCTCCTGGATCAAGTTCCTTGCACCTGTGTTGTGGGCCCAACTTTTCCAATCTGCTAGGTCACATTGTTTTCTGACAAGTGCCCCCCCCCCCATTATGTATCAAATACCTCTATGATGCATTCAAGTCTTCCAACAACATACACAAGTGTTTCTCTTCTGTGGGCTCATGCATTTGGATAGTTAGGTGTTTGTACTCCTGAACTTGTAAGTGGTTTACTTCAAACATATTCTCCATGTTGCTACTTGGTGCTACCCTTTTTCAGCTCCTGGACTGAAAACGATCCTTCTTGCTTCATCTGTGCCCTGTGGTTTTTCCTTTTTGCCTCTGTTGAGGTCCCCTGCTGTCACTATGCTGTGCATGGCTTTAGGTTAGAACCAGAGCCAGGAACCCCTGGCTTGCACTCAATACTGGACACCAGAGCCTCGTCCCTCCTCAGTGTTGATTACTGCTTGCGTGCAGTGGTGTTTCTAAAAGGCGTTTGTGGCCTGTAGTCCAAGTGTCAGTGGTCATGAACTTGGTACTGGAAGCTCTGATGCTCCTTCTCAGGGAAAGCTGGGTGTTCAGGAAGTGGTGCCCCTAAGGCCCACTTACCCTTGTCAGGGAGCTGCTGCAGCACTCGGAGTGTCTGGGGTCCTCCTAGGTGGTCTACTAGCCACTCTGGCCCAATGTGCACCCCCCATCCCAAGCACACGTCAGTTTCAAGAGGTGAAGGTGGCCTTTGTGGTTCGGTCTTACACCTGGGAGAGCCGTGAAAGGAACTTGGCCTCCTGGAGGAGGCAGAAGTGGAAGAATGAGCAGAGCAGGCGACAGAGGGTCACCACCATTCCGAATTTATTACACCAATGGCACTGACACAGCTGGAGGTGCACCCCATAAGCCCACACATAACTCCCTCCCTGCCTCTGGTGGCTGGCTGTCCAAGGAGGGCCTGTCGCCCAGATAAACTTCCCAATGTTTTCACTTTATATATATATATTTTGGACGTTTGAGTTTCCTTCTTAAGAAATTGGGGGGCGGGGTGTCAGGGTGTCCCATGTCCCACCTCCCCACCGGCCAATTAAGTCCTGCCAAGAAGCCGTTCACCCCGCGGCCCCTGAAATAAATACCGGGAGATGGCATTGAGTGTGAATGCAGAGGGTGGCACCGAGCAGGCCCCGCCCCGCCCTAGGGCCAGGGTGACAAGGTGTTGCTGTCGGTGCTGGCCCAGTCCCACCCGGGGCCTGTCGGTGGCCACCATGAGGCCACCTACAATTTGTCCAGGAAGTTGTCCAAGGCCGGGATGCCCTCCTTTAGGCCTTTGCGCTTGCGCGTCTCGGCCACCACCTGGCAGGGCCGGCTGGTGTTGTCGAAGGGGTCCCCGGGCAGGATCTGCCAGTGGTCGAACACGCACTGCGGGAAGGCCTGGCCGCCAGTGTTGGACCGCAGGTCGGCTGTGAAGCCTGCAGGAGGGGATGGGGCTAAGTGCTGGGGACCCAGTGGCCCTGCTCAACTGGGCTTCTGCCCACCACCACCACCCCCCCTTCCCTGCTGTGGTTACAGTACCTACCCTTGCTCTTCCCGCAGAATAGAAATTATTCCCTCCCTTTTAGCCTAGGCCACCTTCCCATCACCTCCCGAGTTGTCTATCACACCCACCTCCCTGGTTAGACTGTGGGACCCTGACAGTGTGACCCGGCCAAGGTGGGCACTCACCGAAGGACTCGTTGACTGGCAGGTAGGCCTTCACAACAAACATGGGGGTGCCAGCCACCTGGGACTCCTCGAACACGTGGCCCCGCTTCCTGTTCAGAACGCCATAGATGCCCCCAACCACTTGCTCCGGACACTGTCAGGAAGAGGGGGTGCTCAGAACTGTGGGGGCAGGGGGGAGTGTTGGGGGGGTGGCAGAGGTAACGGGTAGTGCCTTCACCTGGATCTCCACAAGGTAGATGGGCTCCATGAGGCGTGGCTGGGCTGTCAGCACACTGGCGTAGAGGCAGCGCCGGGCAGTGGGGATGATCTGGCCGCCCCCACGGTGGATGGCATCGGCGTGCAGGGTCACGTCATGGACGTCAAAGCGCACACCCCTCATGTTCTCCTCGCACAGCGCACCCTGCAGGGAAGGGGAAATGCAGTCAGAACTCTGGAGACGGGCTGACTCCTGAGGAGTGTGGTCAGGGATGAGTCACCTCACCCTGCCCGACAACTCAGCCAGCAACCCCAAGAACCCTCCTTACAAGACACCGAGACTCAAGACACAGTCCAACCCCAAGCCCGCCCCGCCCGCCCTCCCTCTAGCTCACCTCCTTGGTGGCCCACTGGAAGCCGGCCACCACGCTGTCCTTGATCTCATTGAGATACTGCACTCCCTTGGTGATATCGGTCAGGACGTTGGGGCCAGTACCATCAGGCCCAAAGCACCAGATCTTGCGGG